GAAAGCCCACGTGACAACTATTTTCATAACGTCCACAGTTCCTAAAAAATCCATTGAGTGATAGAGAACAATGATCAATCAATCAACGTATAATCAGTTAACCCTTTGAACAAAGTATGTTGTTTTTACATCGGCACTTCATGCCATGATATGAGTGTATTCCCTTTGTTTTAGTAAACCTAGACATGTAAACACTCACTTTTGACATATCCACTGTGCAAGATAACAGTGATTAATCAATCAACGTATTTTCTGTTAATCCTTTGATGACTAGGAAAGATCCGTTGATTTACACACAAAAAGGAAATCAACTGATCATTCACCTCTTGCTGGTCTGCCACGTGCATATTACATAACACACATTTCACACATTTAGTAATCGTATTATCGACGCAATCCGAAATCCGAAAATACTTTCACTGCATGGATACTTTTTTTAGTATTAAACTATGACCATCTGGGGTATTTCCAAATGACGACATCCGATGAGCTCCGCCGTTCTTTTTGTCTGTTTGTTTAGGTTGAAGAAATTAATTAACATGCGCCCTTTGGCGAAATCTTTATAGATCACGGTTAACCAATCAGTGTTTATGCAAAAATGCTTAAAACAAATATTGCCTCCAGCCTCCAAGTTTATTTAGCTGTCCTTGCAGACGGTAGCCCAGTCTCTGGTCACGCTCAGTTGTGTTGCGTATCATCTGGGTACTCACGGGGGAAAAACAATAACAAAGGCAACAACCAGTCCGGGGAATTCTGTTAGATCAGTGCCCCTTTAAGATGGCGGCTCTTGGCGAGGCAAGCGATGTGTCAGAGTTTATAAAGACTCCGGCATCGTTTAAAAGTGCTGTGTGGAAGCATTTCCTTCTGTCGAGAGACAAAACAAAGGTGTCGTGCACTATTTGCAAAACCCTTTCAACATATAATGGCAACACAAGGAATATGGCAGCCGATATGAAGATAAGCCACGCCAGTGAAGATGTTCAAATTCACAAGAGGGCAAAACCTGATCCTCAAATTTCCAACTCGTCGTCGAAGAATTCTGTTTGTGAGGATATCATGAACATGTTTGGTCGTAAAGAGAAACTGCCTCCTAATAGGGAACGATCTAAGGCTATCACTAAGGCTCTTGCTCAGTTTATTGTCAAAGATCTCCAGCCATTTTCAATCGTTGATAGTGAAGGATTTGTGAATTTAATTGAAACTCTGGAGCCGAGGTACACACTTCCAAACAGAAAAACTTTATCAAAGAAAAAAATTTCAGAAATGTATGAGGAGACAAAGCAAGAAGTCATAGATAAACTCAGATAAAAGCAGTTTCGTTGACCACTGATGGGTGGACCAGCCGATCCACTGAGGGATACATTACAATCACAAGCCAACACAGTGAACTTTTGCAATCATCACTGAATACTTCTAGTAACAGTATTGTCAGTTGTGACACTTTGAGTGTTCTAAAGTTCAAGTTCTGTAAACTGAGGGTATGAAAATTGAGTTTCAGTTCCTCCACAAGTCCATTCCAAACTGTTCAATATAAGCTTGATTATATTTCTTGCTCAGGGACAAGCAAACTCAGCATAAATAGAAAATATGCTGATTTCAGTGTGATGAAAATTATTTGTGTTTTACCCAATCATGGTTTAATGGCCAAGAAATATTTATTTTCATATGTGTGCCAAATTACACTGTGTGCCAAATTGATTTTTATTTTGTATTTTCCTAATTAAAAGTTTCAAATAAAAAGTTTTTGAGATCTTTCTTTCATCTAACTTCTTGAATTTAAGAACAAAATTACATGGATTACACAAAACAAAACTGCAGAATTTAGTTTTTGTTAAAAACAGGCATGTTCAGCAGTAAATTGTGTATCGTGATACATATCGAATCGAAACGAATCGTAAAGCAAATATCGCGATATGTATCGTAATGGTTTCAATGTGCATCGTCACAACTCTATTAAGTATTGCTATTATTGCTTATTCAGATTGTTTATTTGTCGGATAAATATGTATTTAAGTGCAAATACATGACAACTTTCTTTTGTCAAACCAATATGAAACCGGTTGCAAATCTAGTTTCTCATGAATATTGATATATGCCCAAATATGGGCATTGCTTACATTTCTATGCATACACAAAGACACTATGTTCCTGCAATTGCATGTGCAAATATGACAGCACCTACGCACAAGATTCTTTTTAAAAGAATTTCTTCAAATTATGGCTATTGAAGCAGATAGTTGTTAGTATAAAAGACAACTGTAAGAAAACTATAAAACTCAATTTTAGCGCCGCGCTAAGTCTCCGACCAATGCTCGGTCACTTCCACCGACGGTGTCTGACTGTGCAAACAAAATGGTTCGGTTTCCTTGATCTATCAGCTGAATTTATATCATGTCCATACCATGTTGGAAGAGGAAGATCAGAGTGTTCGCCAAAGACGTTTTTGGTAACTGTTTGACCCTATGGTGAAGATGTGGAAATCAACGAACTCAAGTATGCATGCATTCAGTGACGGCTTCGAACGAAGGTCACCATCGAAATTAGAAAAGACAACGTGATGTACTCACAGCGTTTCACGCTAGAGATCAATTTGGGATGTTTTTGGCCACAAAAACAGAAGTCAGGCACACTTCCATGAATTTGAGTTTTCGAATGATTTGTATCAGAACTGTTCACTTAGAGCGATCTGGTTGTGCAATCGTGTATGTTCATTCATGAACAAACATCTTCAATGTCACAAAATACGTTTTGAAGGGGACACTGATGGCACAACCGGAGAATCCAATGTAAGCCTAGATGTCTGTCCAGAACTGACCTCATTTCATCACACTTAACCGTTTATATTAGATAAAATTGAAAGTCGTGAAAGTGGTCGGGTACGTCACACCAATAGGGACCCTCGATCTATTGGTAGTCGTACATTGCAAATGGATATAGCTCGATTATATGTCTGTAGCCACTCTACGCATAACTAATATAGAATGCAAAGGGAATTTGATGCATGTGACTATCTTATTTGGTTTAATGATGTTTTTCTAGCTTTCATGAGATCTTTTAGTTCTGTCTTGAAGTTGCGAAAGTGAATTATGTCTTGCGATTTTTTTTATCAATGAAAAAAGTAGTACCGATGTGACAGAGGTTACGGTTATCCAATCAAAAAGAATAAAATGAGGTCAACCTTGTATGCCACAGGTATGATGTACGGATTTAGTATCTAACCACCTGTATCTTCACCACGTGGGTAATGACACCCAATACTTCCATCATATCTCAATGACAACAAAGACAACCCGAACACATTAGGTAATTTCAGATAGTGGCATTTAATGGATGAATCTTCCTGACCAGACACCGAAACACATTGGTTAATTTCAGATAGTGGCATTTAATAGATGAATCTTCCCGACCAGACACCAGTAAACAAATTTAATAATACCTGTACGTTGAACAGAGTGCAAGGTGTCATTTTGAAAAGTCACATGCCATTACACAGTCAATAATGGGTGTGGCCACCCTGGTTCCTGATGCACACTTCACATCGAGCTCTCATTGACCTGACAGGTGTCTGTAATGTTGCCAGAGGCATTGCCTGCCATGCTTGCTGAACAAATTCCACGAGCTGATGCAGGTTGGCAGGCGGAAGATGGTTCTCGCGAACAAGTCGTCCCAAAATGTCCCAAACATGCTTATTTGGGGCAAGATCAGGGGAATATGCTGGCTACTGCATTCTCTGAATGCCTCTGAGAAAGTCAGTGACAACACATGCACAATGTGGCCTGGCATTATCTTCCTAAAAAATGGCATTGATTCCAATGGCGTTGAGAGACGTAGAGACAAAGGGCCCAACAACCTCATCCCTGTTTTGGATACCGGTCAGATTGCCATGAATATGATAAAGGGGGGTTCTGTGATGCAAACTGATGCCCCCACACCATGACTCACCCTCCGCCAAACCTGTCGCGTTCACAGACCATCACATCATGGAAACATTCACCTCGCCTTCTGAACACATGGATACAGCCATCTTGACACTGCAAACTGAATCGAGACTCAATCGAAAACAATACCTGTGACCAGTCCTGAGGATTCCAACGAAGATGGGCACGACACCATGCAAGACAGGCTGCTATGTGGTGTTGAAGAAGCATAGGAGGCTAACAGCACGATGTCCTGAAGCCATGCAATCGGACGTCCACGGTCAACAGCACTTTTGGATCTTCTCACCATGACGTCTCCAAAACATTGGACATTGACAAATTTCTGCTGCCTCAGCTCCTAAACCCTTGTGTGCAGTGGCTGCATAAGAATCATGTTGCGCACATGGATGGTTTTGTTTGAGTGGCAGGCACCATCATGTGACAATGGACATGTTTTTATTTGATAACATTTCTCTGTCACGTTTCTCTCTTATTTTGACTGTCTCCAAAACGCAACAAATTTTGGTTCCTACATGTCTTCAACTGCATACCTTACCACTGCAGTGTTGACTCTTGGACTGCACGACTGCCATGGAATGAAACCCAAAGACAAAAAGTTCTGAAGAAATGTTACCTGAATATGTCCAAATTAAATTCTGGTTTTGCTCACGACATAAGTATTATAACTGTCACTACAACTCTTTGATTGACTGTATTACACAAAACAAGGAATTACAGCTTGATAATGTAAGCTTGCCCCATTTGGGCATTTAGGCAGCTCTGAATATCTCTGAAGTCTTCATTGAACGAAAAAGGTTAAAGTGAGTGGGTATGGATTTAAGCCGCTTGGAGTAATATTCCACAGTATCATGGCAAGGAAAACCAGAAATGGGCTTCACACATAGTACCCACATAGAGAAATGAACCTGGCCTTCAGTGTGACAAGGGAACACTTTAACCACTCAGCTACCCCACCGCCCTAATAGGGTTAATAAACTTAATGGTAAATTTTGGGGGTAAAATTTTCAAGTACGTTCCTAATTTATATCAATGATTTTTATGATCCAAATTAATTTTTTTCAGCTACCAGACTTCAACACTGAGAAATCTCGACTAGATGGACTCCAGAACCTGACCATGACAATACTGAAGGTAAATAGCTGTGCATTACATATGTAATTATTAAACTGATCCTATCTCACACTTTGCATTTCTTCTTCTTCGATCCTATGTGGAAACATGCTTGAACCATGTTTCCAGCTAAAATAAAAACATTTACCCGAATACACCTCAGCATCTCAATGGTTACATCAAGCAGCCAGGCCAATCACGTGCCCTGTACACGTCAAGCCATTCTCTTTCTCATTGCCACTGTGTGTTAACGTGTTTGACATCTAAGACTTGTTTTGTCCTGTTGCCAAGTTCTGTGATTAAATACACAGCCTACAAACAGCGGCCGGCATGCAAAGAATGCCGATGCACATATTCAACATCGGACCCTCAACTTCTTTTGTTGTGATTGTCGCGGGCAGTGTTTGTTTAACTCATGTTGTGCAGAGTGCCATGCTTTGCCAAATTCTGCCTTGCACATCTATACACAAAGAAAAAAAGTTAAGCACACCCCTATTTCTGAACCATGACAAATGGCAAAAAGCATGGCATTGGATGACTGACCACAGGAGCTGGGTGATACCAATGTCATCGGATAGAACAAACATATGACAACAAATAAAGAAGATATTGATGAGTTGTGATTGAAATTTACTAACAAAAACACAATGGTAACACAGGTACTGTTTTTAACCTTAGACAATACCTAAACAAAGTATGGAGCTGCAGGATTAAGTAAACGAGTTACATTTGATGTTTCATGTGAAAATGTTCCTTAAAGTCTCTACATGACATGACACGTGAAACAGATCAGTAGCAGGTATAACCGTCACGTGCCTGGATGACACATTCCACCCTGCTTGTCATGCCTTCAGTCAGACGTTGGATCTGTTGATGGGTCAACAGCAACTACTCCTGATGCAATGCTGCTTCCAATTGGCGTAAATCTTGTACAGGAGGATCTCATGCCTGTATGCGCTGCCCCAGAATATCCCAAACATGTTCAAGGGGTTTCAAATCTGGGCTCATTACTGGCCAGGGTAGAGTCGTTATTGCATTGGCCCTCATGTAATACATGACTGCATGCGAACGATGAGGCCTGGCATTGTTGTCAAGTAGCAAGAGGGTGGTTGTCAAAATGAGGAACAATGACTGGCCTCAAAACGTCCCGGATGTACTGAGCCCCTTTTAAGTTGCCCCTTATGGTGACAAAATCCAGCCTGCAATCATGAGAGATACACCCCCAAACCATTACTGAGCCCCTGCCGTATGCAACAGTTGGTTTAATGTTCCTGGGGGAGTAGGCTGTGTTCTGGTGCCTCCAAACTCTCTTCTTCCATCAGTGACGTGGAGCAGAAAGTGACTTTCGTCTGACCAATAGATCCGTCTCCAAATTCTCAATTTCAAGTTCTGTCGCGCAATACACCATGCTAAACAAGCAGATTTGTGGTGATCACTCAACAAGGGATGCTTTATGACTCGTCTAGCCCACAGTCCTGTTGTTTTCAGCCGGTTCTTGACGGTTCTGGTGCTGAAACGACAATTGGGCAACCACACCTGTTTCAGACAAGTACTTGTTAAAAGGGTTCCGTGTCTTCGCAATGAGATGTCACAGGAGGTCTTCCCAATCTGGCACTGTCCTGTACATCACCGGTCTGACCATGTATCTCGACTAAACAGCTTACGACAGTGTGATGATACCCCTAATTCCGACCAATGTCATTACAACACATTCCTGCGTTATGCATGCCAATTATTTGCCATCTTCTGGCGTTTGATAATCGCCTTCGTGCCATGGTCACTAGGGCTGCACGGTATTACCGGTATACCGGTATACGGCAATATGTAAATGAAACAATTACGTATCGCGATACGTTTCTTATGTACCGGTATATTGACAATGATTTTGTGTTTTCAAATTAAACTTGCTTAGGACTAATTATTATTACTCTTTCAACACTGTAGGCCCGTATACCGGCCAAGAAGCATCAAGTCCCCAGACACCGTAGGCCGGTAGACCGGCCAAGCCGTAGTCACATCAAAATAGTATATAATATTTTAAACCTGCCAGTCATATCATTCATTTATTAAATCTATCACATATTCACATTGTCTGAAATACGTATTCCATTTCAATTTATTATTTTTTGTCAATAGATTAAGAAATTATTCACTATTTCCCGTAATGTTATTGAAAATACAATTCTCGGATACACACTTTGAGAACGGGTCCACATCGAACATGTCAAAGAGCAAAATAAAGACATTTTAGGCAAATCTTTAAATATAGTATACAAATTAAAAAATTAAATCAACAAAAATATATCTAAAAGTTGTCAAACTTACAGCTAAGTTATTATTTCCATCTTTTCGTGTGATCGCTTGTAATGTAAATCAAATGACATCTCGTCATTCGTCGCCTCAAATTCTCAGCTCGGACAAGATGTTTTAACGCCAAAATATATGCATGAAAAATCTTTGTCACAGCTCGTAATGTAGCAGGATACATCCACGAAGCCCCTTATTTTTAATATAAATGGCGATTTCCTGCTTAAAATATTCAGAAATCTTTCGTCAAAATCTGAAATTCATACCACTGTACTATGATTCGCTGCCTTAGGTCATGTGCTCAAATTTGACCAATCACAAACCATGTAGCAAATTTCGGCAAGAAAGCGTCATTTTATCCAATGAAATAGCTTGTTATAACTATGAAAGACTCCTCAAAAGACTCCAGGTGATGTTACGAGCGTGTAGATGAAAGAATAAGCTTTCTAGGGATGTGTCATATGCCAATCTTCGACGAACGAGTTATTCATACGAAGCCTCGAAAACAGGGGTATTTCTTCATGTTACTGAATGAACAGGTGCTTTTATCGGGAAATGGGGGTGATGACAGATACTATTTATGATTCTTTTGAAAATGCTTTTCCAATTACTTAAACAAAAAAATTAAACAAAAAGTAGGTAAGTGTATTTTATGAAATCTTATATTTGCCGAAAATCGTCAAATTTTCGCTTCCTTGGTCCTTAATCTGGACGTTATGAATGTGTTAGCTTGCATCTTTTTATTTACAACGAACATAATTAAGTTGTAAATGCATTATTTAAATAATGTGATAAACATAACTTTCATATTTATAAACAATAGGATCAGACCTTTCAAATGGTGTATAACATACAGTAGCAAAGATGTTTTACAAGCAGATATATTTTTTGATAAATGTTGGCTTCATCTATCACACAAGAGTCTCTGGGAACTCGGTGTCACAGCAGAAAACACTTCTGGTTGACTGATGTTGAAAGAGTTAAAACAACTGATATTGTCCATCTTTTTACCTGCGATGTCATTGTGATGAAAGCGCGCGAACAGCTCTTGATAAACCATTACAAGCTAACATTATCACAAACACTGGACCCATATGATACATAAATACCTCCAACATTTCTTCCTGAACCTATGAGCTAAACGCATCCATGATATCACTGAGTCTAGAGCAATGATACCACTAATTATTTACTGCATGTTGGACTTTACCATAATGGTGCCTTAAACAGCTATTCTTGAGTCAAATAGCACAGCCAGTCAGACACAAATACAATTGTGAGGTTTGTCTGAACGTTCTGGTTTTTCCCCTTCTTTTTTTATCCCCCCGACATATAATGACGGGGGGATATAGCCATCAGTATGTCCGTCCATCTGTCCGTCCGTCTGTCTGTCTGTAATCATTGTTTGTCCGGAGCATATTTCCTAAACCGTACAACCTAGCTTCACAAAACTTGGTACACTTACCAATCAGGCTCAGTAGAAGTGCCTTTTGCTATTTAGAGATTTTTAGAATTTTTTATTTTTGTCATTTCCATGGAAATATGATGAACTTAGGAAATTTGAGGGTAGTGCTCTTGTCCGGAGCATATTTCCTAAACCGTACAACCTAGCTTCACAAAACTTGGTACACTTACCAATCAGGCTCAGTAGAAGTGCCTTTTGCTATTAAGAGATTTTTAGAACTTTATATTTTTGTCGTTTCCATGGAAATATTATGAACTTAGGAAATTTGAGGGTAGTGCTCTTGTCCGGGGCATATCTCCCGAACCATACAACATAGCTTCTCAAAAGTTTTTATGCCTATCAAGCAGGTTATGTAGTGGTGCCGTTGCTATTAACAGATTTTTTCTTTTTTTTTCTTTTTTCAATTTTAATTGAAAATCGATGAACTTAGGGTAATGTCCTCGTCTGGAGCATATATTCTAAACCATGTGACAGAGATTCACCAAACTTTATGCACATATCAATCATGTTCACTAGTAGTGCAGTTTGTTATTTATAGATTTTAATCTTTTTAATTTGTAGCCCCTGACATATAATTCTAAGGTGTACTATTTACCGATATCATATACTATATATATGATGTGAGCTACATAACCTAGTACATTCTCTTTATGCCTTTGTGTCATGAGGCTACTACAGAGCTATTCATATGCGAATGTGTGAAGTTATTGTTATTACAATTTCATTAGATCATCAGAAAGTGAGCTACATGAACCAATATTTAATAATCTTCATTATATTTCTAGTTTTGGCATCAAGGAAAAAGATTTCCTTGCCAATCTAAATACATTTGAAGGTACACACAGTTTACCGACATGCCACGTCGGGGGGATATGTCTTCTTCGGATGACTCTTGTTTTATTTTGAATAAAGCTAAACATTGTATGATTGCACTGTGATTCAATTTGGAGGTGAAAGAATCTTAAACAGTGGACAGAACTCCTTAAGTTTTCTTCCACAATATATTGCAGTACGTATTGCAATACAGAGGAATGTATCGCAGTATATCGCAATACGAAATTTGGGGCAATACACAGCCCTAATGGTCACACAATGTCATGGAATAACTGTTTAAAACCTAGCTTAAGAAAGCAATTTTAACGTTTAGAGATACTCAAGGGTACCATGCATGGCACGTGAGCTTTCGTCACGTATGACTGATTACATCATCTTGAGAAAACATAATTTTTCCCGTAATTATATCTTTCAT